CGTCGTCAGTAAGGAGACAACCGGCGCAGACGGTCGTGGCTCCAAGGCCCCCGGTCTCAGGTACGGTGTCCCCAGCTACGAGCGGAAGAAGGGCCAGGTCAAGATCCCCACACGCGTGGAGGTCTAAGTCTGGATTATCACCGCTAGTCGGGATATCTTTCCAGTCTCTGTCTCTATATCAATACCTTCTAGCTTTCTTACGCTCTTGTATTTCTATGCTCCTCTGTACAGATATGGATGTGACGAGTCAGCGTTCGCTTGTACTTATAATTGAATCGAATTGACGTCGTAAAGACTGAATACTGATCAAATTTCCCCTATATTGACTTTATATCTTGGTTAGAGCATAGTAAGATGCAGCATCGTAGACAATAATTATGATCCGACAGCCTCTAAGATACTGGTCGGTGCTGTAGCACTGCCTAAATAGTGTTAGCACAACGGTCAGGCCGATGCAAGTTTACACCCGGGACGAATCATGGCATCCATGCCTACATCACCTATCAGGATATTACACATCTCAATAGAGAAAGCGAACATGAAAAATCTCGATCGTATGCTTGAGCATGCCCCTGGAGGTAGATATATAAACATGAAAAAAACCTGTAAAACACCACGAAAGATGAAGAAGCCGCCCCCTTTAAACCAGCGAACAACAGTGCTATAGAAGGAATCAACAAGGGCTATGCTGGGTATCCATAGAAGCCTAAAATAGCGGAACAAGCTCACGCAACAACATCAACCATGCATGTATTGTGACCCAAAAAAAAAAAAAAGAAAAAGAAAAAGAAAAAAGAGACCGGCGAACCGAGAGGGCCTAAAATCAGAATAAACGTGAAGTCCTGCAACTTAGACGGCATCCGGGGCCGCGTCGTGGTGACTCGAAGTCTCCTCAACAGGCACAGTGGTCAACGGGCTTGCAGGAGAGTCAGGTGCTTCCCCTCCAGAAGAGTCTTCTGGCAAGAGATCCGACGGCTTGGGAAGATGCAAAAGCCGGGCTGCCGTCTCTTGAAAAGAAGAATCTGGCAAGGCAGGAGAATATTTCTTGGTCACACGTCCATTTTCCAATTGAGCATGTGTAGGTGTCGCTGACGACTGGTTATCATTTGCATACCCTCGCCATTTGCGCCAGCCTTCAAAGTCAATCAGAGCCTGCATGCATCCCCATTCCGTAACCTTCTGCTCCAGCCATTCGAATCGCACGGGCTATCAATGTGTCAGCTTTGGTCATGCGTAAGGCACTTACAATAAGGCATACCTTGGTCAGGAAGTCATTGCAGCCAGCAGCTAATGCTTCATGTCGGTCACTTTGCAGACTGCTGGCAGTCAATGCGACAATAATGACAGGACTCTTGAATAGCGAAAGATCATGTAATACGTCCTCCTCTGTCAAAGAATCATTGATTTCGGGGTCTATCTCCGGCGGGGTCATCGCGGTGGCACTCGCAGCACTTGACCGTCCGGATGCCGTCTTAGGGAAAACACCTATTCCGTTCAAACGCTCAAGCCGGCGAATTTCTTTCGTCGCATCTAAGCCGTTCATAACGGGCAATTGGATATCCATCAAAACAAGGTGAAAGCCGCCTTCCCGCCACTTCCTGACCGCTTCCTCACCATTTGCGGCGCATTTCCAACGCACGCTAAGACGCTTCATGAATGCCTCTAACAACCTCTGGTTAATGACGTTATCTTCAACGATGAGAACATTAATGGGCGGCACAGTGCCCTCAATGAGTCCTCCGAACGCTGCACTCAATGACTGCGCAGGGCTCTTTTTGGGTTTTGCCGACTGACGAGGGCGAGGTGACGCGCCGCGTGCAGGAGGGGTCATCGATTTATTCTGAGGCGAATCTGGAGGTGGGACAGGTGGCGTAGGGACTTGTGGAGCTGGCTGCGGAGCTATGGCAGCTTGTTGGGCTCCAGCATCTGTAAGCAGTCAGTACACATCCTTAGAGTGGCCCCAAGCCAGTTAAATCCGATAAGACATCAGACAACTAACCTTTGGAGCTGGCCGATTGCCCTAATACAGTGGGCGAATTTGTAGTATGCCGGGTAAGAGGAGGCCGGCGGGTATGGCGATTTCCCCGGCTACCTGGAGAAGGTAATGGCGGTGCCATCCCAGTTGTGAGGATACTTATTGACGGGGCCGGATGAGCACTGGCACTGCCCGAAGAATTGGATGCATGGGCTGGCGGGGTGGGAATATTAGGGTGGATTGGCATGAGAGGGAAATATTCGTTATGTTCGCCGGGTTCAGTTTGCTCATAGTAGATAGAATGACGCGGGGACGGCTTCGGCGTTCGTCGTGGAGGTATGTCAATAATCAGGGCCTCCTCTATTGTTTGGCCGCCTGGAAAATAAGAGTCCACCACTGTGACCAATGGCTCCTCTGGACTTAGCATCCGATCCGGGGTTGCCTGTTTGTTCGAGCCTTCCCGAGCTGCGATGCGAACGACGATATCGGGCGCGTCGAACGTCTTGCCCAGCGAGTTGGCGTATTTCATTATTACTTGGTCGCGTAGCTCGTCGACAAGAGCATCGTGTGCGGTCGGCACCAAAGTGGCCGAGCCCCCTGGCCGTCTAACCCAGATCTTGCGTTGTAGCATCCCAGCAGTACCGGTGGCAAGGCGGCCACTACCGTCGTTTTCTAGGGAGGTTCTTGGCTGCTCGAGTAGATCGCTAATCAAATGCTGGTGAGACGGGGCAAAAAGCGATTGACGACGTGAGCCGAGGCTAGGACGTTTGGGGATCGAAACGGTACTGGAGATATTTCCTTGATTAAAGTATGCAGCGGAAGGATTCTCAGCAACAGCAGTCAGGGGTGTGGGTAACTGGGGCTCGCCGACCGTAGACCCTGTACGGTCCCGCCCTTGGTTGTACGCAGTCTGAGACGCTCCACTGCCCGAAGTCGGCAGAGGCGAGGTCGCTGTTGAAGCAAAAGGTAACTGTTGTAGTAGCTCGTTCGGACCAAGTAACCGCGGGGGGGCCTTTAGAAAGTCCGGGGGCAAGCTGTGACGGTCGGTTACAGCGCGGACACGATCAAGATTCGATTCGGACAGCTGTCGCTCCTGTGGCCCTGGGGTGGGAGTTAGAGGGTTTTGATTCAATGGTCCTGGAGCTCGGGTCTTCTTGCGTAGTCGTGATGGTTCTTCTTCCCGAGGAGATTGTGATTTCCCTACCGAGCCTTCGTCAACGGAACCGTAATACCGCCCCCGTTCTGCCGATGGACTCGCGGGGGGCACGGAGGTATCGTCCGAGATTGAGCGCTGAGCAGTAGATAACGAGGAGACAGAATTATACGAACGGGGTTGAGCGAAACCCTTGTCGGACGTGAGGGGAGAGCGCAAAGGCACTGGCGATAAGGAGTTGGTGTTGGCGGTGCTAGAATTTGGCACGAGGAAAGGTTCCGCCCCAGTGGCCGCCTTGACAGTCGACGATCGCCGCAGCACTTTGGCTTTAAACTTGCTCCAGGAATTGGTTGTCGACATGGCTGAGCCTCAACCACGACAGCTTCTTATAATCAGGGACCAGGAAAATATGTATCTTGTTTTAAAAAAAAAGAGAAGAAAAAAAATAATAAAGGAAAAAAAGAAACAAAGAAAACAGGCAAGGAAACAGAATGTAAAGGAGTGGATCAGATGAATGAGACACTATACTGTCACTTCCATTATTCCTATCTCTTGAAATGGTCAAGACGGCTAGAGACTAGGACCATCACCAGCACCAGCACCGGCGATGACAACTATAACTGTGGCACACCGTGCGGTGATGGACGGGGTAAATGGAAGGGCAGCGTTCCTCATCTCTTGTATAGGAGGAGAGGAACAGGAACGACCGCAAGTCAAACTATTTGATAAGACTTTCTTTCCACTGTTCCCCTCCGAGATGGGAAGGAGCGCGACGGCGGGGAAGGGGGAAACTAAAGGAAGCAAAAGAAGAAGAAAACGCAAAATGAAAAATGAGGGCACAAGAGGGAACGGAGAGCAGTTGAGGGGAAGTTCAGTTGTCGAACGACCCCGGTTGGAGTGGTGGTCTAGTTACTCAACAAGGCAATTGCTTCAGCAGTCACGGGGAATTCCTACCTTACTTTAAAGCCCACCGGGGGGATCTTGACCCGTACGATCCCGGTACCTTGTAGTATAATGATAGTAAATATAGTAAATAGTAATAGTAGTAGTAATAATACTAGTATCGGATGGTAATAGGAGAAGGGCGTAAATCCAGTCACTCTCTCCTAAAAATCCCAACGCTTGGGCCGCAAAGAGTCCCGGCGAAGTGAGACTGGTCAATGAGAAGAGAAGCGAAGGGAAATCCGACAAGAGCAATGATTATTGGGAAAGAGATTTCGGCGGTCGTCGCCTCATTTCGATGGTACATGCAGCGTTGACATGTCAGCGTTTTATGCATGTACAGTACCTAAGGGAACTAACTAGTTTAGAACCGTAGCTAGTCTCTGACACTATCTATATTAAGTCAGGGAGGTTTCATGAAACCATTGAAAGAAGCGCACGGACTCCTCGTAGAATTCCAATTGATCGATAAGATGGCACCGAACTATTGCAATTACATTCCCTTTGTTCTCATGGCTTAATAGAAGAATGCGTATCCAGGTATGTCGGTTCAGAAGAATTGCATTTATACTTCAATAAAATTGCTGGAGCTGCGGATAAGGTTTTGAGTAGATCCAGACCTATCACATGTCCAATATATAATTTACCGGGTCCTAATGGAGGATCCGACTTCGCACCAAGTCGAGACAGGTTATCCACATGAGAAGCCAACGGCTGGGGACCTTCCATTTTACCACCAATGAATTATCATGTTGGTTCCTCACAGAACTGAAGGCCACTCCCCTTAAAGCGATTACGGGCAAGGCCAAGATGATATAGCATTGTGGCATGATCAGCAGGTAAGCTTCTCAGTTCCAGATATCGACTCGAGCGAAGCTTTGAAAAATATAAATCCTCGGCATTTGGCGCACATGGAAACTGCTGACGCAGGCTAACAAGATGATCGTGATTGTACTACAACCTGGACGGCATGCTTTATGGTAAGAGGCACCAATGCTTTTCTTTTTTGCACCATGCCTCTCCTACGCTGGTCGACATTGTGTTATACTGCACACACTGGTAGCCGGATGGGATCCTTACTACGTTCAGAAGAGACAGAAGCTACACTCGCTTTATTGCTTAGAGCTGGAACAAAGCCTTGATTTCATACATTCAAGCAAAGCTTAACCATTCCAGTTCAACATGCGATAAATATTGAAGCATGTAATGAGCTATGTCCGGAACATGACAGCTGGAACTTATAGAGCATAATATATCAGCGCGCAGGTGCCCGCTCAAAGAAGCTCAGACAAAGAGATCGATAACCGAACATGCGCTTTACAAAACGAAAAGGAAGTACCGACCAAGGAATGTTGAAACAAGCAAGAAAATGCCATCAAGACGTAACGTGACTTCGCAAACCAGACTCGCGCCGAGTGATACTACTCGAAGGGTATCAATGATAATTTTTCTCGCAACCAAATGGCGAGGACCATGAAAAAACCAAAAAGAGAAGAAAGAAAGCGTTACACAGAGAAGCTCCATCCGGATCACAACAAGATCAGATAATTCGATGGAGCAATGCCTGTGTCTCCATTGGATTTCCTGGCCTGCCACCACCTACCGCTAACATCGGACACTTCCAATATCTCATGTTTGGAAAAGCTGATCTCATTGGCGTCCTCTGGGTTGGCATCATACGAATAGATTGCCTTTGCCCGGTACGGGTATTCGGTGGGTTGAGGAACCTCGTTCTCGTTGCCATTGGCAGGCAAGTTGGCGTTCGAAGGGTTGCCAAATCGAGGTTGCGATGAGCTGCGGTTTTCCGAACCGGGGGCGCCGCCTGGGTAGCCCGATACGGGCGATGACGTCTCAAAACCGTTGAGCTGTGCCGATGTATACATTTGAGGTGCCTGGCTGGAAGTAGTCTCGGGTCGGTTTCTGAAGGCCGTAGACATAGGTCTGCCGTTGCCATATGCTCCGGGGTGTTCCTTTTGGAGAGCGAACGAATCAATGAATCCACGATGCGAGGCTTGCGGCGTCGACCCGAAATAAAAGATCCAGATAACCTATTTAACTCGTGAGTTATATTCGATATCTTGAAAGCGTAATGTGACTCACTATCACCATAGACATGAGGATAAATCCGGCACCTGCAGCTTGCGACGCAGAATCGCTGCGATATACCAACGAATTCACACCAAGTGTCGTGATTACCATACCAGCGGAAAGATACCCCACAATCTGTTGCTGATCAGCTTGGGCTCATGTGCATAAAGGGCACCAGGAAAACCATACAGCTACACCGTAGACAGAACCAGTATCCGTACCAAACACGAGTGTCATCCCAAGAATAATACAAAGCGAATAAGCGACTCCCCACCATGAATAGGTGGGATAGCCACGGGCATTAATAGCCGAGACAATCGACGATATGAATGCAATGATCCATGCCAGCTACAAACGAAACCCAATTAGCATCAATCACCAAGACTGGATCACCCCGCTGTTTGAGACACATACTATCGAAATGGAGATCGTTGCAAGCGCGAACGGGTCACCGAGGATGTTGCTTGGGCGGAATCTCGCCATTCTTCGAGGACTTTCGTTGTATGGACTCGGCTTATGTAGAGATGAGGAATGCGCGGAGTAAGCCACCATGAATGTGGTAAGGAAAGGGCGAAAGAGAATATATAGGACGTTCGAGATTGGTTCTTTGCCGTCGGTATAAGTGGCCGAAGAGGTATATCCCGTCTGTGAATGGCGATGACTTTATAATCACTTCTTTGCGTTCTTTAAACAGGATGAAATGACCGAGCAAGGTTCCCCGGAAATATCAGTTGCCGCTTATGATAATTTATGGCATTTATCGATTAAGTCAGCGTTCTACTATCAAGCGGTTAGTTTCGTTGTGTAGTTCTAGACGCGAAGGATAAAGAACATGTAGATCAATTGGCGGTGGATCGAGAACATCGTGAATGATAACAACACGAACCAGTGACTCGTGTTTTTTTTTTTTTTTTTTAAAAAATACATTGAATAAAAAAAAATAGAAGAACAGAAGCGGTCAGCCAGCGCAAGTGCATGATCGTACCTCAGAGGTAAAGCAAGAATATTGACAAGGAGGCTGGTCAAGGTAAAGTTAAAAAAAAAAAAAATATAAAAAATTCAAGAAGCACTATATTCTGAGACAACAATCAAGAGACCAAAGAGCGTGTCCCTTGAGAGGTTGGTTGAGGGAAGTTTAGAAACAAGAATGCCCCTTGCAGGCAACAAATAAACAACAGCACCTGGCTGGAAGGAAAGATCAAGATGAAACGTTAGAAGGGATGACAGCAAAAGAGAGGGGGGAAAGAGTGGAAACGAGTGAAAAGTCGATCACGTAAAAGCGACTGATGAAGTGAAGGAGTGATAGAAAGTAACAAAGATGGGGAAAGTGAAGTGCAAAATGTTGAACAAGTCGAATACTTCGTCCAGTCGGGAAAAGGAGAGAAGATGGGACGGGAGGGGAAAGAGAATGTGGACTGGACACTGAGGCAGCAAGGCAGAGATGCGACGACGCTAGAGGACCACTTGGCAGGTTTCACACCCACTGGAGTTGGAGCGTCCACGCGAACCCCGTTTCCACAAACACACGGACTGCGCTTGATTGGTTGCTGTTCCTGGTTTGGCCCCTGGCCTGGAAGATCGAGAACGCATGACGACTGGTCCTCGGCCGAACTAAGTTTCTGTCGTTACTATTCTTATGCGGATTATGAACACTAGAAAGTAATGACACAGTTATGGACTTTTTTTCTTTCCTTTTCTTTTTTCCTCTCCAGTTCTGCCAATTACTCTTTTTTTTTTTT